ATATATAACTTAAAGTTTCTTTTATTGATTTTTTTTTTTTTTTTTTTTTTTGTAGACTGAGTCTGTCTTTTTCTTGTCTTCATTCCTTGTGCACTTATTGAATACCTATTTGCCAGGCACTGTGCCCAGCATGCTCTAGTCCAGAGAGGCTGGGTCTCTGAAAAATTCTGCTCTTTGCCCTCTACCCATGACCTCCTACCTTGTCCAGAATTTTCTGTGGCACTTTCTGTGTCATAGGTGTTGTAATGAACCCTGGGAGGACAGAGTTACAGCGGATCCTCATTCCTTGTGCACTTATTGAATACCTATTTGCCAGGCACTGTGCCCAGCATGCTCTAGTCCAGAGAGGCTGGGTCTCTGAAAAATTCTGCTCTTTGCCCTCTACCCATGACCTCCTACCTTGTCCAGAATTTTCTGTGGCACTTTCTGTGTCATAGGTGTTGTAATGAACCCTGGGAGGACAGAGTTACAGCGGATCCCATGTCTGTGGAAGGGAGAGTGGCTGCTGACTCTGGAGAGGGCTGAACACTGACCCCTCACTCAGAGCTCCAACATGCCTCAGCAAAGACCCCTGCATTCCCAGGTGTCTGACCAACCGTCCAAGCTCCCGGGCTACAGTCTGGGTCAGCCCAATCACTCCAGCCTTGGATGCTGCATAGTTTGCCTGTCCCATGTTCCCCACCTATAGGTGAATCAGAGATTTGGAATGAATCAGGAGTCCCAAGGAAGGCTCTCCTCTCTATACCCTGACCTCAACCTAACACAACCTGACCTTGCCTGCGATGCTACTGATGTTGACGATGGAGCCATGACAACCACTGGACACCAGGGCTTGGGCTGCAGCTTGAGTGACTAGAAAGACGCCCTGGTGAATAGAGAGTAACAAGAAAGAAAGGATCAGCAGGAGTGACAGTCCTCCTCCAACTCCCTTTCCAGGTTAGAGGGAGGGGCCATAAATCACACAGGTTCATAGATCACCACCTTGAGGTTGACAGATATGACTCTGTCCCAGTCATCCTCGGACATATGGAGCAGAAACTCATCCCTGGTAACTCCCGCACAGGACACAATGACAGAAGGCGGGCGAGAAAAGCAGGCCTATGGAAGAGGGAGATTACACACCAAAAACCCATGTAAAAAGCCAGGAGCGGTCGAGGCAATATGAGCGCTTTAAGGCGGGCGAGGTCACTCGCATTCACCTGCACTTGTTCCAGCAAGCGCCTGGCAGCCCCGGCCTCAGACACGTCAGCCTGGAAGGCAGCGTGGGCCCCACAGGACGCCCCCTTCTCGCTTCCTGGCCTGCCCAACAGCCGCACTGTCTCGCGTACCGCTGCCCCATCCAGGTCGCAAACGGCCACGGCGGCCCCCTCTCGGGCCAAGCGCACACTGACTGCTCGGCCGATGCCGCTACCCGCACCTGCGGTGGGAGAGAACACGTGGGGGTGGGGAGAAGAGTGGGCAGGGCGCTAATCAAATTCAGACCAGGGCCAGAGATCACAGCGGCTGCAGAGTCCGAGGGCACCCCAACCCGCCCTGGGAGAGGACCCCCTCAACCTGTGACAAGGGCCAGTGCGGAGCGGAACCGGAGCTGGGTCGCCATGGCTGTCTGCGGGTGGGTAGGGCTCTGCACGGAGCCAATCCCAGCGCAGAGAAGGCGTGGCGGGAGCAAAGCCAGGCCAATCGTAGCCCTGCCAGTGTTAGGCCATCTGCGGCCATCAGCGTGGTAGGGAGGAGGGGGAGCCTCCTACCGCGAGGGCGTGACCAAACTCTAAAGCTTGAGGGCTTGGGTAATTGGGAGTAGAGTGTCCCCATTACTCCAAAAAAAGACAAAGAATGCCTCCAGGGCGGAAGATCCGAGCACTTTATTTCCGGTCACCATCCCAACCCCCCTCGATTAAAAGAACGATATAAAAAAACAAAAAAAATCAGGCCATGAGATTAGCAACTAACATCCCCCCTCAAAATTATGACACACGATTGATGTTTAATTGACGTTTATCCCCAACTACTCCTGCTGCCCTCTGTCCAGGACTCTGGTCTTCCCTGAAGCCTCCACCAACAGGTGGAAGGGAAGGAGGAAGACTTTGGGGAAGCTTGTGTGTGGCAGCTTGGTCCTCTGGGAACAGGTGGGGTAGGGGACACAGGGTAGGCTACCATCACTGGTCTCTTCCATTTAGCCCCCCAAACCCAACAAGGTGGTCAGCACATCTTGACAGCCCCCATACCAAAGTCACCACTTTCCTAGCCAGGGCCCCCAACTTCTACAGACCCATTCTAGAGTACTTAAGAGGGTAGAGGTTTGAGGCTAGGGTGGGGGCAGTTTATCCGTTTATCCCACTTCTTACTCAAGGTGGGCAATCAGCACCATCATGACAACTCCCCCTAGCAGCCCTAGCACCTCCAGAAGTGATTGCAGTGGTGATGCCTCCCTCAATAGCTCAGGTAACACAGACACCGTTGCTACATAGATAAAACCACCTGCTGTGAATGGCAGAATCCAACCAGGACCTGTACCACCTGCAATTTCACTACCCACTGCTCCTCCTTCAGTTAGGAGGGCACAGGCTGTGCCTGCCAGTGCCCCTATTGCCGTCAGTAGTTGCAGACGCATTGCCTAGTGGGGAGAAAAGACAGAGGCACTCGTCAACATCTAAAGATTTTCAGTAATTTAGACATAACTGGTGGGATCTAGAATAGACTTTCTGAAAAATCTTAGATATCAAAGCGGTCCTTTCCACAGACCATCAGATTCAGGGTGGGGAGCATGGTATGAAAAACTCCCTGTATTTCAAGAAATACTGCGCTACAGGACAATGAAACAGAACTTCCCCATTTCTAGAAAACTTATTGTCAATAACAGTATGACCTGTTTGGAACTAAGGAGACAATCTTGGGTTTGAGGTGGGTAAGCAAAGGATAAAGGGTTGGAGAAAGCTGTGATTGATGCACAACATTACCAACCTGCTTTTTGCTGCAGCCAGACTGGACTAAGATGGCAAAGTCTCCGACTTCATGGGGCACTTCATGTAGTAGGACAGTCATTGTAGTCAGGATTCCCAATCCCCAACCCCCTCGAAATGAAGCACCAATGGCCAAACCATCTGTGAAGTTGTGTGCCAGGTCAGCAGCCAGATTCAGGTATCCTGATACACGCAGGTCTTGTACGGGAAGGAAGGAAAACAAAACAGTTAAAGGCTCCATCATTGCCATCATCACATCTCCCCCAAGAGACCACTTCACAACCAGCCCCTCAGTGTTTTCCAGACACCTGTCATTACCCACAGCACAGAGTCTGTGTGATTTAGATGGTGCCCCTTGCTCAAGTTTACTACCAACCTTGGCTCTCACCTGAACCTGTTTTTAGCTCTTCAGAATTCTGAGGTCTCCCTGGCCCATCTTTGGGCCCTGTGCTTCCTCCTCCCCGCTTCCTCAACCTCCCTGCCTCCTTTTCTTCTTCTTCTGAACTCTGCTTCTCCTTTGAAGAACGCTCTGAGAGAAAAAAAAAAGGAATTGGTAAGAATAGAGAACAGAAATCTCCTAATATGTCCTTAAAAAACAAGTCCTTTCCCACCTAAGAGCCATAAGATGAGAGAATTCTGAGGCAAGCAAGGTGGCTTTGAGGAAAGTTGTTCCTGGGCTCACCCTGTCTTCCATGTCCATGACTTCCGTGTGTGTGACCATGAGCATGTCCATGTCCATGACTGTGCCCATGTCCTCCTTTCACATGTCTCACAAACTTCTCCACCACAAGAAAGGCAACAATTCCACTGAGGACCCATAGGCCCACAGAGAGAATGGGGCCCTGGCCTGGGAATGAAGGCATTGAGACATTAAAGGAAACATGGATTCCAGACTCCTCCTCCTCAAGTGCATGAAGAGAAGAATTGGAAGGGACAGACCTTCCCCAGCACCCAAAACCCTGTCTCTGTCCACCCCTTCCTCACTGTTGTGAGAGTGTCCATGTCCGGACTGCTCTTGAGGGTGATGAGAATGAGGTTCTGGAACAAAGGAGAGAAAAGTCCAGATGAGATACTACTCCACCCATGGGGAACATTTGAATAAATACTGGAAGGTGATGGATTACAAAGAAGAAAAAACTCTTTTGCCCAAACAATAAAACATACTAAGATTTGAGATAGAGATCTAAAGTTAATTACCCAAAGCGTGAGGAATCAGGTGCAGGAAGGCATCTCCCAGGAGCCCACCAGAAGCAAAACTGAGCAAGATCTGGAGCAGAGACCGGTGCCGGGGGGAGTTTGACTCAACGGGGATAAGGAAGAGGACGAAAAATGGAGCTGCAGAGATCAGCACTGTGGCCCCCAGTGCCTGGGGAAGGAGAGTCAGGGATCAAGTGGTGCTGAGTTCCCCAACAATTCAGAACCAGCCCCTCTCTCCCCCATGCCCTGTGTACTCACATAGGCCCAGAGAGTGACAGTGTCTAGGTCCTGCTTGATGGCTGGAGCCCGAGACTCCCTATAGCCTCCATGACTGTGCTCATGATCATGTCCATGTTCTCTGTGGTAGAGGCTCTCATGGGAGTGACCATGGCTATGATCATGGTGCAAATCCTCATGTGAATGTCCGTGGTCGTGACCGTGAGCATGCCCATGCCAGATGCTCTCGTGAGTGTGGCCATGACCGTGGGCATGGCTGTGTCCATGGTGAAAATCCTCATGTGAGTGGCTGTGGCCATGGAAGTCCTCGTGCAGGTCCTCGTGCAGGTCGCCATGACCCCCGTGTGCGGCCACTAGCAGCCCCAAGGCCGCCCAGGTCAGCAGTCCCACGGCCACCCAGTGGGGGACCCCCAGGCCTCTGGCCATCACGCTGACCAGAGGGACAGAGACAGTGACTCCACTTGACCCTCAATTCTATACCTATGCGGGGCCTGCTTTACTCCGCTCGCTCTCTCTGTCCACTTCTATGGGCCGCTCCCCCATTCCTTTCTGTCCCCACCCGCACTGTTCCCAAGACTCGTTCTTTTTTCCCCCGGAACCCCTCCCAGATGTAGGGCCCCCAGGGCACCGCTCTAGGCTTTGAGCATCCACTTCACGGACTCTCTGGGCCCTCGTCTCTATGCCCCACTAGGTGGGGGAAAAGGCCTGGAAAGGACGGTAGGGAAAAGTAGGGAATTCTCACCGTCTCCGGGATCCTTTCCTTTCCCGGTTTGCTCGGACGTGGCAGTCCCGCCTCTTGATCCCCCGAGGACAGGAAGTTCCGTCCTACCCCCGTTCCAATACCTTTACCAATATGGCAGCACTCCGGTAGCGGCGAAGCCTCCCTGCCCTTCCGCGCATGTGCAGGTGTGGAGGTTATTCGAGGGGAAACTGGGCGAGGCCGGCTATCAGGCCGGAGGAGACCGCCTCCTCTGTTTCCATCTAGACGAGGGGGCGGGAACTAGCGCGGTAACTTCCCGTCTATACCAAGATGGCTGCCACAACGGCACTGTCATTTTGGTACAGAGCAGAGCGAAGCGCTTAATTCGACCCGGTTCAGGCCAGAGTTTTTCTCTGGAGCTTCCTCGTGCTTAGCTAGTCCTCAGTCCTTGGGAATCTCTGGTATCTCTTCGGCATCCCTACACACAGCTAGGAATCATGTCCTGGGCTGCTCGCCCGCCCTTCCTCCCCCAGCGGCATGCCGCAGGGCAGTGTGGGCCGGTGGGGGTGCGAAAAGAAATGCATTGTGGGGTCGCGTCCCGGTGGCGGCGGCGACGGCCCTGGCTGGATCCCGCAGCAACGGCGGCGGCGGCGGCAGCCGGAGAACAACAAACCCCGGAGCCGGAGCCAGGGGAGGCTGGACGGGACGGGATGGGAGACAGCGGGCGGGGTGAGTGTCCTGGCGGACGAGCCGGCGAGCCAGAGACCGCTTATGTGCAACCCCTCCCCCCTC